ACTTTCCCTCTTTCTCTATTTGGTCAAATTAAAAAATAATAAGTAGAATTAAATAATTCTTTTAAAAAAAGGTTTTAAACAATACAATATAGAAGTATTTACATTGCATTGTTATAAGTCCAGAAATGGCACAAGCTGCAGGACACTGCTGGGAGGGGGGTCCATGAGGGGTCTAGGTGTGGTTCCCAGCCCAACCTAAATAGCCTAGGCCAGGTGGTGCACACCTGGGGTCTTAGCTACCCAGAGATTGGAGCAGGAGGATCGCCACATGCTGGTGTGTCATCCAAAATACCTCTCTTAGGGCCAGCAGCAGGTGGCCTCGTGGTTAAGGCGCTGGATTCCCACATGACCAACCATCATTCGAGCCCTGGACCCTGCAGCTTGAAAATCACGTCAGGCATATGTTCATGCATGCCCAAAATCCTGAGAGGAGAATGGAGGAGAAGGGATTATGGCGTGGCCATTCCCCTGGAGGGGGGGGCCGGGCGCATGATTTCTTACTTTATGTCACTGTCTGGCGACTATACATGCCCCGTGGCAATAACCAAAAAACCCAACCAAATAAAAACCTTTTCCCTTCATGCATTTGTGCTTGTGTGCTCATAAAAATACAGAGTATAGGAATGGATGTGCATAGTTATATGTAAGTATCATGTGATTTTATATAGGGACTTGAGATTCCATGGATTTTTGGTAGCCACAGAGTTCTGGAACTAATTTCTCACAGATACCGAGGGACAACTGTAGAGGTAATACACTATTTAGGATTCTGTATGCCATGTGAAGGACTCTAGTTTTTATGCTGAAAGAGAAGCTATAGGAGGATTTTTGAGAGGAATGTTTTGAAAGGATCCCTCCCCCCAAGTTAATAGACTTGTAGGGAATTCTAGCAGCAGACTGGTTTCGAACTCCTTGCCATACACCTGCCAAGACATTTTAGTAAACATATTGAGGGGCAGTTGGATATTCAAGTCTGGAGCTCAAAAGAGAGATCCAAGATGGTGGCATAAGTCTGAATAAAGCCATGAGCCTTGGGCCAACCATGGCATGGTGGTTAAGGTGGCTGGATCCCACATGGCTGACTGTGAAAGAGAGACCCAAGATGGTGGCATAAGTGAGTAAAGCCATGAGCCTTGGGCCAACCATGGCATGGTGGTTAAGGTGGCTGGATCCCACATGGCTGACTGTGCAGTTCAAATTCCAGACCCAGTGGCTTGAAAAACAAACTGGTGGGGGACAGCAGATGGCATGGAGGTTTGAAACAGTTGAATCGCACATGGCCAACCTTAAGGTTCTGGACCCAGTAGCCTGAAAATCACACCACGTGTGTATGTGTGAATACCCAAAGTCCCAAGGGGAGAAGAGATGCTGGCCTTTCCCCCGGGAGGTGATTTCCTCTTTCCTCTCTCTCTCCCTAATAACACATGTACCCTGTAAAAAACATTTTTTTAAAGAAAAACACACTGTGTGTGTGTGTGCATGTGTACACACAGGCAGGCATGCATGCCTAAAATCTCAAAAGAAATGAAAGATTATGGCATGACCAGCCTCCATGAAGGGTTACTCTGCCAACTCCCTTTCTCAGTGAGCACATGCGCTTTCTGGCAAACTTAAAAAAAAAAAAAAAAAAGAAAGCAAGCCACGAGCCTAGATGAAATCACCAGGAGTGTGTATAGAAAAGGGAACTGGGGCATGCCAATACTCAGAGATTGTGCAGCTCCCCAAGGAGGAACCATCCAAGACAGCAGCTAGAAGGCAGACCAGGAAAGTACCTAGAACTGGACCATTTAATACATAATAGCTATTTTGCTATGTGTGGCTACTTAAATTCATTAAAATTTAAAATTTAGGGCTAGCCCCAGTGGAATTTAAATTTAAAATTGAGGTCCTCAGTTACATTAGCTGCATTTCAAGGGCTCCTCTCAGTGGTTACTGATTTGGACCACAGCATTTTCTCCATTCCTGAGGTTCTGTTGTACAGTGCTGGTTCAGGAGCCAATTGAGAAAGCACCGAAAGGACAGGGAGTGTCAAAGCTGCTAAGCGATGATAACACTGAGCCTCTACCACTGAGTTTAATTATATGTAAATGACAGGCAACCTCTTATCAGGAGAGCAGTTTGGTAAAGGAGGAGGCAAAATATCTTCAGAACAAACTAGAAATAGGAAATATGGACAACTCCAGAGATTTACCGTTAGAATGACCAGGATGAACTTACTATAAAATATATAGTTATTCCAGAGAAGCATGACTCTCATGACTAAGAGTTGAGCCTTTACAAAATAGTACATAAAAACACGGACTAGTGATACTCAACCGTAATAGAATCATTTGAAGAGCTTTTAAAAAACAATTTCTTGGGGTTCACCCCCCCTCACCCACCCATAAATTGATATAACTGGTTGGGAAGGGACCCTGGCATTGTTCATAGGTAAGAAGTTCTACTTTTGTTTTTGATTTTTTTTCCCCTGGGTAATTCTAATGTGCAACCACATCTCAAGACACATTAATTGCTTTGGACCAAACATCAGTACTAATGCATGAGGTCTCTAAATCATGGTCCAAAATAATACAGCACTTCATAGGTCGGTGGATTTATAAAGCAATGGCAGATACTGGATGAAAAAAATGAGTCATGCAGTATTGTGATAAGCTCTTCTGGTGTTTTGGAGATTGAGAATGTTAAGTCCATCAAAAAGGAAATCATCACTAGATAAAAGACTAACACTACTCATGGACACACTAGTTTGATTATTTTATGGGGTAGATACTCTCAGGAATACTTCATATGGTGGACTCCCTTCCCCACAGAGAAGATTTTTGTTAATCTTTATCAAAAGATATATAATTTCAGTAAGCAGGCCTTTGGAGGTAGTAAGGAAGATATAAATGAGACAATTACAAAAGGTTGATTCTGGTGCTACTGAGTTACAAAGGTCTCTTTTATCTTTGAAGTAAAGCTTCTTAAGAAATGCTAAGCCTTCTGCGTAAGGTCAGGATGCTAGGAAACTTTCAGACTTTCAGTAGCTCTTATGAATTAAGAAAACTTTTTTTTTAATTAATTAGACATTGTCCAGTCTTTTTAAAAATCTTTATTTATTTATTATTTATTTTAATTTGACCAGAGAGGGAGAGAGAGGAAAAGTGAGAAAGGAAGCCATCAGGTCTGGGACTCAAATCGTGGTTGACCATGTTGGGAGTCCAGCACCCTTAATCACCATGCCACCTGCCAGCCCCAAGAGAAAACCTTTTCTCAACAATATTGCTGTCCCTGTTCTTCGACAGCTGGGAAGAGAAAACCCAGTGCTAAAATATTTCTCATTTGTGAGCACTGTAGTTCAATGGTTAGGTACAAAGAATCAGGATGAGTGGTTATAACACTGGCTCTTCTACTTGCTGTGTGAACTTGGGCAAGTTACTTCTCTGCCTCAGTTTCCTTATCTGTAAAATCTGGATAATAATGGCTATCTCATAGGGTTGCTGGGAGTTAATTCATGTAAAGCTCTTAGAACTAAAGTTAAGCATGAGAACCTGTTGTGACTGTTATTAAAATTAAATGTAAAATGGGGCCAGATGGGGGTGTGGTGGAGGCAGTTGGATTTTTTTTTTTTTGGAGAGGTTTTTACTATAGGGTACGTGAGCTCACCAGAAAGACAGAGACAGAAAGCGAGAAATCCCCCCCCCCCCCGGGGAGATGGCCACACTGCAGTCCCTTCTCCTCCATTCTCCTCTCGGGATCTTGGGCACTCACACACACACCCAGAGTGAGTTTAAGCCACTGGGTCCAGGACTCGAACCATGATCGACTACATGGGAGTCCAGCGACATAGCTGTTATTGCCAACTGCTGGTCCCAAGGCAGTTGGATTTCATGTGGTCAATTGCGCATTCAAGTCCCAGACCCAGCAGCCTGAAAAACACACTAGGCATGTGTGCATGTGTGTTCAAAATCCTAAGAGGATGGAAGAGATGGGGGTGTGGTGTGACCATCCTATGGGGGGGGTGCTTTTTCACTCCCCCCGGCACTGGTAAGCACACATGCCCCACAGAAAACCTTTTAAAAAGTGTAAAATGTTTCCCAGTACTAATGATGTAACTGAATAAAAATATATCTTGATCTTACCCAGAAAAAAAATATTTCCACTTCTAGTTATTTGTATTAGCATCAGACACCAAGTACTAATGCAAAGGAGGGGGTACAAGGATCACATCTTCAAGCAATTCACCTACTGCCTTTAGACCTGATCCTGGGCCAGATAAACAATGGAAAGGATGATGACTTGAGAGTATCTTCTAGAAGGTTATCATGCATCTGGTAAGGACTGGACTGAAATCCCTTGACATTTTCATTGAACACCTTGTTTCCATCTTCCATGTATAAGTTACTTCTAGTGTTAAGAGTCTTTTTCCAAGTAGTTTTTCATTAATGATTTAGCTAGCCATAACCAAGAGGAAGAATAAATTCGGCTGATCAAAAACAGCTACTAGGGCCTGCAGGTAGCATGGTGGTTAAGGTGCTAGACTCCCACATGGCTGACTGCAGTTCAAGTCCTGGACCTTGCAACTTGCTTTCACTTTCCCTCCCTCTCTCTCTCTGGTCAAATTGAAAAATAATAATAAAGTTAAATAATTCTTTAAACAAAAAAAAAACTGCTATCACCCATGGCCAGCCAATGGAGTGATGGTTAAGGAGGTTCAAGTCCCAGACTTGGTGGCTTGATAAACACACAGGGTGCATGTGGGCACGTGCCTAACACCCTGAGGATAGTTGAAGAGAAGGGAATGGACCATGACTATCTCCCCCGGGGGCTGATTTCTCTCTCTCTTTCTCTCTCTGATGAGTGTGTGTACCTTGACCCAAAAGAAAGAAAAGAAAATCAGCTATCACCCCAGTATTTTATACCAACTTCTCCTAAGCTGATAGCAAACATGTATTAACAGTTGGCTAAGCTAGAACAGGAGGAATTAGTGTTTTAATTTGAAGAATTTTAAAGCAAGCCAATAACTGTATAAAATTTAAATTTTATGACCATGTTTGGACCTTTTTACACATAACACAATGGAAATGTTCATATTCATTTTTCCCCCAAGGAAAAATTTCTGAATCATCACTATGTTGCACAGTAGAATAGAAATATGAGTTCAGATACTTATTCACGTTTCTAAAGAATGCAAGTAACAGACACAATTTTACTTCCAAAATCTGAAGTCAGAAGTCATCAGCATGATTTTGTAGTATGATTTTGTATCTCAGGCTTTACCTAAAAATCCATTATTATTCAGATAAAACAGCCCCCGGTCACATTTTTTTAAAAAGCTTCTGCCCCACCACAACTTCCTGAGATCTGTGAAGAAACTGTAGTCTTGTGACCAGACTCCATATGGTACTGGCAGTTTTGTAATTGTAAGGAAAAACCGGTGACTAATTTTATGTGTCAATCAGTTGTAGTCTGCTGATCTGATTAGAAGCCTTGACAAATGCCTGGTGGCGATTGCAAATAACTGCCAAGCATATGGGGATGATACAGTAGCCCACTGTTTTGGGATCAGCTCTTGTACAAGAATAAAGAAACAAGAACATCTGTAAGTAAGGAATCAGAAAAATAATTGTCCACAACCAAAAAGGTAAGGAGAGTAACCGGGCTTTCAAGGAGTGTGTCCATGTGATTCCTTCAAGGGGCTCTTCGGGGTGCTGTTGAATGTGCTCCAGGGCCAGTCTGTTGTAAGTGTCGTTGATTTCAAAAACATAGTAAAATGCTGCTGCACTTGCTAACAGATACAATCCCACTCCAATCCAGCCCATCCGCTGACGGAAGTTCATCATTCTCCATGCTCTGTGCCTTCCAGTAAAAAACATATGCACACAGTTAAGGTCTAGAAATGCAGTCATGGCAACTAGTTCACATGTCCTCGCTTTACTTCTAAGAGTGCTAAAATACTTTACCAACATATTTAAGTTTTAAGATAAATTAAAATCACATTTATTAAGAAATGTAAACAATTTACAAGTGGTTGTTTTATGTAACAGGTATGGGCAAATAAAAAACACTGGTTTCCTGAGGGCAGGTGGCATGGTGCTTAAGGGCGTTGGACTCCCACAGCCAACCCCGGTTCAAGTCCCAGACCTGGAGGCTTGCTTTCTCATTTTCTCTCACTCTTTCTCGCTCTGTCCCTCTCTTGTCAAATTAAAATAAATAAATAAAGTTAAATAAAATAATTCTCAAGGGAAAA